TCAATAGATAGTAATAACTATTACCCGTTGTACAAGAGGTGGCTATGGTTCTTCCGTGGCATAGTGGATAACGCCTTGGCGCTTGAAGCGATGGGTACCTGATTCACGTCTCAGTGGAAACACCACTCATTGGGATGCAGGTACACGCAGCTAATGAGTCCGAAATAGGATGAAACGCGCATCCTGGATTCTTCTGCTAGCCACAACCAACCAGTTTATCATAATTAACATTCAGGCAATATTGAGGTATCCGCATAGGAGACCATATGCCAATAGAGGTCGAACAATTCGATGCAACAAAACAACGGAGAATAACCAGTATGTCAATAAATAGTAACAGCTCATATATGTTTTAGTTTCTCACAGCTGTAAGTAGCTTATAAAACGATGCATGAACCAATTGGTTACATTAAAGGGAGAGAAGTTTTATCACATTCCCCCATAAATTGAACAGTATGGATTACAAACATCGATGTATTTTTAAGGTTATTAGATCCAGTATCGCTTACAATCTACAAATGTCCAGTGGATTCAACTTCACTATTTGGGTCAATGGTTAATGAGCGTATTCAAAACTCTACGACAGTAGTTCTGCTCCCTTATGCTCATGTTTAAACGTAAAAATTAGAAAAATGAAATACAGATAATAAAGGATAAATACAAAGTGACTTTATAAGTCACCGTAGTAACAATTAAAATAGCCAATTGGATTTCTTTATTTTGGTTATAAAAGTAAATTCTCATAAAACAAGTAGTCTAACTGACTACCTTACTTGCTGTTAGGGTGGTTCGTACAGTCACTTATAAGTATGCGGCACATAGACACCATAAAGCAGTTATAGACAGCATTTTAAAGTGCAATAACTCAATGATAATGAGTGAGAATCATCATTGTACTTCTATTACAATACTTACCTAAAAGTTATTGATGATAAAAAGTTAAGGCTAAGGTAGAGACAAAGATTGTAGACACCTCTTTTGCACACAAAGGTCAGACTGGCTTCAGTTCACGGATATCCAAGACCTATGTTGTTTTTAAAAGCCGAACACGGAGGAAACGTGAGACGTTTGAGCGAATTCAACAGATAACGCTAAAATCCTTGTTCCGGTCGGTTGAATGGTTGAAATCGATTAACTGTTCAAGAATAGAACTTGTGATACATTTTATTTTACCCTTTTAAAACCACGCCGGAATATGCTGTCATATACGTGTTGACAGCAATTTCAGACCAAGGCCAACGTACCATGCTCTACAGGAGCAGGTGAACTGGTAGATACATAGAGATACACGTATAAGAGGACATATTCCGACCTGGTTTTAAAACAGTAAAAGAAAATGTATCAGAACATCTCTGTGATCCCTCAATGATTTTAAGGTTGTGTATGAATTCGCTCAAACGCCTCAAGTTTCCTTCGTTTTCAGCTTCTAAAAACAGTAGAGGCCTTGGCTATCCATGAAACATTATATAAGTTAGTAATTAATGCTCATCTTTTTGATCCCAAAAATCATTTTTCCAAGGGGAAGTCATCCAAGACTAGGATAAATTACAAATTCTTGACGATTTTGGCGTTCTTTGTTTAGAACTAGTTCGTAATAGCGGCGATTCTTAAACATTTTTTATCATAATGTTAGAAACTTAGTGCCAAAGCTTGATAACTTTCGAATGCAGGTATCTACATCAGAATCTGTAAACGAGCCGTCGGTATTTTTGACTGAAATAAATCGGTTTTTACGCTTATTGACAGTAACTGTTAGTTATTGACAAAGCGTGTAATGCAACAAATAAACCTATTGCTTTTCATGTGCTGTTTAATACTGAAAGTGAGTTGTGATGAAAGCTGGTCACTAGATGTTAACCGAAAAAGCTGGCTACTCCTAGGTGCCAGGAGCTATCGAATCTTTCAGATCCATCATGATATGAAGCCCCCAGGTAGCTTGGTGGTGATTCACTAAACCACATCAATGAAATCCGACCACTGGTGATTTATGTGTAAGTGACACTATCTAGCAACTAACTCAAATCTGAATAACCGAGTCATAAAGTGTTCGACTTTTACCTACCTAGGCAGAACTGTTTCAACTACAGGCGGCACAGGCCCAGACGAGGACGTGAAAACCAGGATCGGAAAGGCGGCAAGACAAGAGTTTATTAAACTGAAATCGGTGTGGAGATCTACTGCACTCAGCATGTGGAACAACATCCAGATTTTCAACACCAACGTCAAGTCAGTAAGTATTTCTATATGATTCAGGAACTTGGCGCGTCACGAAAGGAATTTCCAACCAACTACAAACATTCATCAACAACTGCCACCTACACTGGCTCGATATTGATGATGGAGATTAGATGGCCAGGATAACAAGAATAAGCAACAAGGAAGTCTGGCTGACTGGCTGGCAACGAACCAACCAAGAAACTGTCACTCAACAAATATGCGATGGAAGAAAGTGGAGATGGATTGGGCATACATTGAGATCATTCGAGGATATCTAGCACCACATCAGGCACTAGAATGGAACCCAGATGGGAAACGACGAGTTGTGCATCCGAGGTGAGGGTGGCATGAAGGATATGATGTGAGGAAGAAATGAGAGTTTGTGGGTAGTGGTGTAGCCAGGTTGAAGAGATTGCAGATCGAGTGCTGAGTGGAATGAGACGTGCTACTGAATCCGTATGTTCGACTAGGAACCCAAGAGACAAATAATAATAATATCTAGGATACTGAAAAACGTTTTATTACACAACTATCATAAATGCGACGAGAGAATTTTTGCCTATTAGTTAAGTGATTCTAGACAATACTTTACTGTTGTACCATATGAAAACATTAAAATTCGCCTTGTACGTTTATATTATACAACATGATTAAACACACTTTCCAGTACAGTATTATTTACATAACTTTATCTTACTGTAAGCCTTTAATTCCGTCAAAAAGTTTCTCTTGAACTAATTTTGAGGTCAGTAGGTATGAGTCTGAAAAAACAAAATCATAAAGTGCCGCAGCCATTTTATATAATCATGGTTCAATCAAAAATGCTTTAATTCATCATTTCACCAACTATTTGCATGGTATATCTGTTTATATGGAATCCTAAACTACGGCCTTTTTTCCATTAGAGCACTAGAGATTAAAAATGATTTCATGTACATTGTTAAATCGTTTTCATTAGTTCTCATTTCATATCAGAATAAAATACAATTTATCATAAGTCATAGATATTTTTTTTTGTTGATAGACATCGGAAGTAATAAAAGTTAGGAAATCAAATTGCAAACTTATTCGATACACTGAATTATTAGTCTCCTCAAGGGTCCACATCGATATAATTCTAGCAACCATATTATCTCATCTCATTAATTAGTTCATTTTATATCTTGAAAATGACTGTATCTTCTGATAGATGAGAAAGAAAATGTAAATTAAGAAAAATGTATAATCTTTAAATATTTTTAGAGGATATTCTACTAATTTCAGAATTAACGGAACAGTTCACTTGAACAATAATATCAATAACATTTTTGTCTATGCTATGAGTAGTTAGAACTGCATTGAAAACATTTTGCTGCTATTCATTTATCTGATTAGGTGACCATAACACTGTGGTAAATAGTGGATCTATTCTTTTTAAGCTCTCTCCCTATGTGTATTCATCAAATTATCCATGCCAGTTGTTTCAGAGACATCCATGTATTATCAGTTCTTATCATATATCTGTCTAGTTGTAAATGATCAATTAAATGTACAACGAAAGTCTTGATCAAGTACTTTTCATTCGTATAAACTATCAGAATACTCGTGTATTCAACATTCTATAGTATAGAATATGCAGAGTTTGTCAAATAGTTGCATCGCAATACAAAGCCTACACACTAATATATTTTATAGTGTGTAATAAAAACAAATAAACTTTATTTTATTAGGGACATATAGTTCACAACTGTATGAACGTATTTGAGCATTAATATTGTTGTTTTATTGTTATTGCTTGTATTACACCGTCGTCGATTGAACCGAATTGATCAGTCTCTGTTAGCATATGGGCTCCTATGCAGACGCCTCGATATGGCCTGTCTTTTAACTATGTTTAGTAATGATGGGCAGTGCGCATCCTGGATTCCACTGCTAGCCACTGCCTATCATTATTGATATTGTTGCTTGTATTATCCCATCGAATTGATCGGTTTCTATTTGCATGTGGACTACTCCGAGGATGCCTCCATATCGTGGCTAGCAAAGGGATGCAAAGCCTGTTTAGTTCTATTTGGGACTCATCAGCTATGTGTACTTGGTTTCCAGTTAGTGATATTGTTCCCAGTAGAACTGAAACTAGGAAACAATCGCATTGAAAAACAGATAGTCTTACATTAGATCACCAAGTCACGATAGCCACTTTTTGTGTACAAGAGCCCATATGCTAATAGGAACGAATAGATTCGGAAAATTCAGTGACAGGATAATACAAGCGGCAACAATAAAATTGGCTATCATGACTCTTTGGTCTAGTGGATAATTCTTTGGCGTTTGAAGTGATCAATCCCGAGTTCCAGTCCTAGAGAGAACAACGTCGCTCACCTAGAGGCTGGTTCATCTAGTTGATGAGTCCAAAACCGGAGGAAACGTACGTCCTAGATTTTACTGCCAGCCACCATCTATAGCTAATATTTGAACATTCTCTCATAAAGAAAATATAGTAAATTTTGTCAAATTTATGTTACCGAAGTAGGTTTATATATGATACAGTCAAAAATGTATCTCTTCCCTCCAAAGTTTAGACATTATTGGGTTGATGGAATTACATATAATTTGATAATTTTTGTTTTATTACGATCATTAAATTATCATTAGTCTAACGATTGTATACATTGGAAAGTTGTGAAAGTGTTTTGCTTTTTTTTATTGCACTGGGCTAAATCAACCAATCAACGCCCACCTCTGACTAACCAATAAAAACAGTCGATTTTATCATAAGTTTGTTGCATATACAAATTCTGGATAATAACAAAATTTCTCAACGAAATTCTTCATTAAATATGTTGACAGTATTTGTGTACACAAAGACATAAAACACGTTCCACCGAGAACACCTTGTCAATTTAGAAGAATATCAACTATTGGATATAATCATACGAATAAGCAACTTAACAGAGATTATCACAGTTGGATCTGTTGATTTATCAGAGTTTCATATTACTTTTCTTCAGTGAAAGACAAATATATGGCAACATTTTACACTGAGAAGAATTAAAACAATGAGAATATACAATTACATGATAATACTAGTTATATCTAATTTACTTTCGACAAAATCGAATATGACACCGGCTGAGTAAGTTTTAGTTAGTAAATATGCATAACTACGTATAATGAGATTCGATTTCGTATCAGAAATTTGGTTTTTTTCAAAATAAATTTCAACAATCACAATAACCAAGACTGTTTTCTTTCACCAGTCTAAGGTGACTAACTTCTGAGGAGATGAATGATTAATTGAATTTGGGAGTTTGTGAGGATTTAGTGATTTTTTGAGTTGGTATTCATCATGGGCTGATATCACTTAAAGGAACGATGGAAGAATGGGAGCACTGAACAGCTGTTTTGTCCTAGCATGAGACTCCTCAGTAGTACACAGGCATAACTCCACCAAGGAATGAAACCCATGACCTTCAGGTTCTGAGGCCAGCACTGGATCGGAATCCAATGGTCCATAATTCCAACTTCTGTCAGTTGACGACATAGCGCAACCACCACCTAATGTCATGGTTGATTAATTGTCCTCATAGCCATTAGGTTTACCTATTGGTGACTAGCTTTTAGAGATGATTCCAGAAGTTCCAATGAGAAGTCGTTACTAGTGTAGCAAACCTGGTAACCTTGACGATAAATACTCAACGATGACATTGGGTGGCAGTCACGCTATGTTATGAACTAACAGATGTTGAAAGTATGGACCACTGGATTCCGACTCAATGGCTCTATGGTAACGTTCTGACCGCAGAATCCGAAGATCCCCGATTTCATTCCTTGATGGGTTTATGGCTGTGCACTACTGAGGAGCCCCATACTGGGACGAAATAGCTGTCCAGTGTTCCCACGTTTCCAATGTTCCTCTAATTGATACCAGTCCATGATGAAGTCAAATTATTCTCTGTCATTTTTCTTATGCTGAAATTAATTTTCTGAACGATTGATTTCCACTTACTTAAGTCTTGTTTTCAAGGCCTTTTGTGCAACAGGCAGCTTATAAACTTTCAGAAATCTAAGCTTTTCTTTTTAACATGAAGAGTATGTGAACCTAATATATCATGTAGAATCTAGAACATTTTATGGGTGATATGAATAAATCTTCATAACCTTTTTTTGTCTCGTATTCAACCGGTACTTGGATGCTGGAAATAAACGAAATGAATGTCACTAGGAAATCCTTTTAGCCATTATCAATGATAGCCAAAATCTGATAAAATATTTCATAAAATCTGACTGATAATATTCAATAAAGGAGGATGATGGCAAAAATCGGTTAAGCTGAAATTCCTTAAAGCATATAGCAATGGGAGATTAATGCATAAATGCAACAGCTTCATTGTATATCTGAAGTATATCTGAGCAACACTTACTCAAATTTTAATTTTTAACTACCCTAAGCCTACTGACGTTTAAACAGTTGGATAATTTGAAGCAAACTGACTTAGAATACTTGCAGATATAATAACTTCAGTGCTTTAGCATCCCATCTTAAGCATCATATCTAAACTTTAGATATTTACATAGGAATTGATAAATATTCATCATCTTTTCCAATAAACATACATAGGGATAGTATACTAGTTTTTAAGATGTATGTTCTAACTGCTGACTGGCCACTCATAGGTAACTCTAAGGCGTACGACGATAAAAACTTTTTTAGAATGATAATGAAGGGGAAATAAAATGATTTATCGTTCATAGAAATTACTTACGTTACTCTTTATGTTGGGTTTTAAGACTAGAAGAAACTGTTTATCCGTAAACTATAAAACCTATAATTGGATTATAATACATTTCATGATTCAATAAGATTTATAAAGCAACGTGTTGAAATATTCTAGATAAAAACATATTAATTACTGTAAAGCAAATTGTATCCGAATCTCAGGAGTTGTAAGTCTTGTTTATGACAAGAGAATATGATACCAAAAAGTTTGTTAAATATTCAGTATCAGTAGGATAAAGCATAGAATATTTTCAACTCACTTAAATATGCTTGAGCAATGCTACGGCGACACCTTTGGTCCTTTTCTTGTCTTAAAATTTTAGCCTCAATGTCTCGTAATAATAAAATCGAATATAACCCTATTTCTATTATTTGTATTGGGGCAATGCAGTGGAGTGTAATTATGTTTCATCAGTTTAATTTAATCAACACACAATGATGATATGGTTTTATTTACTGTAAGATGTTTTAAGCATCAGTTATAGTGCACAACCATTTCAACTGATTATAATCTCCATCAACAGGAGAAACCTAAAGGAAGTAGCCTCTTTAACCTATCCACGTAGGCAGCATCGTTTCAGCTACAGACGGCACAGGCCCAGACGAGGACGTGAAAACCAGGATCGGAAAGACAACAAGATAGGCTTTCCTTCATTAACCTTAAACCGGTATGAAGATATTCTACACTCAGCATAAAGCGTGAACAACATCCGGATTTTCAACACCAACGTCAAGTCAGTAAGTATTTCTATATGATTCAGGAACTTGGCGCGTCACGAAAGGAATTTCCAACCAACTACAAACATTCATCAACAACTGCCACCGACGCTGGCTCGATACTGATGATGGAGATTAGATGGCCAGGATAAAAGAATAAGCAACAAGGAAGTCTGGCTGACTGGCTGGCAACGAACCAACCAAGAACCTATCACTCAACAAATATGCGGTGGAAGGAAGTAGAGATGGATTGGGCATACATTGAGAAGATCATTCGAGGATATCTAGCACCACATCAGGCACTAGAATGGAACCCAGATGGGAAACGACGAGTTGTGCATCCGAGGTGAGGGTGGCATGAAGGATATGGCGTGAGGAAGAAATGAGAGTTTGTAGGCAGTGGTGGAGCCACGTTGAAGAGATTGCAGATCGAGTGCTGAGTGGAATGGAGACGTGCTAGTGAATCCCCATGTTCCATTAGGAACACAAGAGACAAATAATATAGTAGTAATAATAACCTCATATACTGTAATTTATTACTTGTACTCCAAGCGTCATCCAGTGAATAATACTAAATCACTTAGTGTCGCATCAAATAAACAAATCTATCATGAACAAATCCCTCAATTTAGCAGCAAATTACCCTACAGTCAATCAACTAGTTATCTGTTTTCACTTTTCTTTACGCTGTTAAATAATTCTACATGATTAGTATTCTGATATTAATAGTTATAACTTACTTACTACTATAAAGGGTTTCATGATTGGTGAACTCAAAAACAATGCTCCTTTATACGTATCTCTTTTTTCTAAATGGAAGTTTATTTATTAAACCAATAATGAGATTACTTATTTTGTTAATTAGGTCCTACATTTTAGTGTTTGGTTACACGACATTTCATTTATAAGATACTAATTCTAGGAAAAAAGTGGATTTATACTGGAGTGAAACCTCCATTCACTCACTTTTTATACGTTTACAATGTTTTGCTACAACTACTTAGTAAGAAAGCAAATAAGTGATAACTAATTAGTTTTGGCGGCCTCCCTTAACTTTGGGGTACCAAGGAAATTTTCCACCAGATATATTTTGTTAAAATCTTTACCTATTTTCTTATTTTAATCTCTCAAATCTGTCCTTCAAATGCATCAAGTACTCCAGCGAATTTTTAAAACCTTCTGAAGTTTTCTTTTTTTGAAGTATTAACAAAACAAAGAAAAATGTCATATAAAATGGAAATGAACTTTTGAATGCATTTCTATATACCTATATTCTTCGACTGGTTATTTAACCACCACTAAACATTGGAAGCTAACCTTGCACCAACAAGTTGCTTCATATCATTACCTTTGATGCTGTTCTTATGAACATCATTCGGACACCATTTTGTTTAGAAATATTGTTCTGAATGTTGATTACCGCTTATTATCGTACACTATCGGTAAATCCACAGAAATATACATGTTAAAAGGAAGTCCTAACTTTGATGTGTCTGACACACGCCTCGACTGTTTTCTTGCTTAAGATATACATATCAAGGTAGAGTACTTGTAGCAAAAATATGAAAAACCGACGAGTGGAATATATAGCCGAGTAAAGTTGTTCAAATTATTGTTGAACTGCGTAATAAATATAGACACAAGTTTTACTACACAGTAAGCAAGTGATGTTAGGTAGCTTTGGCAAATTCATTCCCGGTAAAGCTTGTTGGCTTTTCGTTTAGCGTTTACTAATTTTATTTCTTGAAGCACAACCTATTTGAAAATAAAGAGTATCCTTCACACTTTAAATCTATTGTATCATATATTTAAAATAGTTTGACTGTCTGAGATAGCCGTAGTCTGTCAGACTCAGGTGATGATGAAGGTGAGATGAAAGTCTAGAGCACTGCTGGATTCCAACCAGCGACCACCGGGTTTTTAGCCCGATGCTCTATCAACTGAGCTATTAGGTCTGACTGCTGACTATTTTATTTCACTTCAATTACCAATAATCAATATGATGCTCCCACTCTGTGATTCAGTTGGATTTCGATTGGGATGAGAAGTTTTGACTAGGCAGCCAGTGTGGATACGACCAAGCTATAGTAACGCGTCACGAATTCATATGATAGTCGGGTAAAACCCATGGTGATTGAAATGAAATAAAATTCTTGTCGGCAGTGGGACCTCGTAGCTCAGCTGGTAGAGCACTGGGCTATAAACTCAGTGGTTGCTGGTTGGAATCTGGCTGCAGTTCAGATTTTCACCTCACCTTTAATCATCACCTGAGTATAAATACATTTATAATCTAAACTGTTTATCGCAAATACATTAATACTGGAGAAATATGAAACTATTGTTCTTCACTTGATTGAAGATGATCGCACGAAGCTCTGGACCTAGGTTTCCAGTTTGTTGGAACTCGTCAGCAGTCTGTGGCTTTACCACTGAGATATTTTGGCTGCAGTCGACCTCCTGCAGGACTGGATTAAATACACTGACTGGTCACTGGAGGTCAACTAGTTTCATGTTGTCTAGTCCTGTGTGTTAAACGAATTCAACCGATCATTTTGCAATGAGGTTACCAAGCTGGGAGTCCCTCCAGTGATTGATCAATATATACTATCCGGTCCTGCAGGAGGTCAGTTGTGGCCTAA